ATCATCAGCTTGAAAACTGAAAAATACGTAGCCTCAACAAGTGACAGGCTGATATTCAAATAGCCAGTACAGTAACAAGGAACAAGTCCTTTCTACTGAAGTGTCACCTGAAGTCATAAAAGATTATCAGCACTTCCTGTAAAAACTAAGAACTCCAGCCCTTTAGGAGCTGAGGAGCAGTTTGGCAGTCCTGAGCCCACAAACACCCAGATATGCAGCTTTGAACAAGAAGTTTCACTTCATGAATTTCTTCCAAGTATCTTCACCATTTTCTCTTTTTACTAGCTATCTCGTGTGAAACACTTGTACCTTGCTAATTCTAAGAATGCTCTGACTCCTCCTTAAGGAAGGTATTTGAATGTTTAAACTGGGAAATGGCACTGTCAAATGAGCAACCAGTTTTGTTTAGATATCCTGTACCACTCCAGGACGGACTGCACAGCACATCCAGACACTGGTGCTGGAGTGCCCTTTGGTAACTTTTGTTACAGAAAGCACAGTGAGAAGTGAACATAACTTTGCATTAACCATCATTTGGTGCCACCAACTGCAAAGTTCACCCCAGGAGTTCCAGCTCCACTGGTTGTCAAACACTGCAGTTCTGCCCACTGAGCTGAAGGCACTCCTGACTCTGGAGTGTCTGTCCAGGCTACACTTTCACCTGCTTCTACACACACTCAGAAGCACAGGCCTGAGAGCTGAAAACAAGCCTGTAGCTGCAGGAGAGCTCAAACCTCTAGTAAGTACACAAGCAAGGTGAAGAAAAGGACAATATTCCATATCAGTGCAATTCAAGTATCACTTACTGGTAAACATTTGCAGAATACTTTCTTTTATCCCTTAGGAGCACAACAAAATATGCCTCTAGGGCAATACCTAAGGAAGCCCTAATCAAAGTTCCAGAGATCCTGTGCCCAGTCTTGTCCTTATATGATGAACATGGTCTCTACCAGCATTTAGTGCTCTGTACAAGTATGTGATTTAGCTGAGCTGAGAGACACGCTGTGGAGGGGCCTGCACAATCAGGTTCTCAACAGCTCAGCTGCTGTGGCTGACAGTTCACAATTGCAGCCATTCATCAGCGTTCCTGGAATACAGCCGGAACAGTTCAAGCCGGTCAGTTATCTCTGGAAAATGATCTATACTCTGCTCCTGTTCCAACAGCCCCAGTAATATTTTGCCCCAAAAGTCTGCCAAACATGTAGGAGGTTTGAACAAGCTTTCTTAGTAACATTCTTTTAACACAGGCAACACATTTCTTTTCCCTCAAGAGCCAAAATAAAGTTATTAAGCCAGCTGAAACATTCTGCTTGTCAACTACAAATTTGTGTATATACGGGCACAGGGGTGAGGAGAGAACCTGACACACACTGATCCCCACATCCTCCCAGGTGTTCTAACTGCCCTCCAGCCAACATAATTAGTACTGCTGCTGAAATGTGGTAATGAAGAGTCAGGGCAATTCTGAGACCCAGTCCTACTTGTGTTTTTACAGTACTCGGCAGCTGCCCGTTCCAAGTGGGCTGCAATACCCACATCTGCCTCACTACCAGTACAAGTTGCTCCGTCCTGGAATACTGCTGCAGTTTATTCTACTTGCAGCCACATTTAGAGAGGAAAAGAAAATAAAACTATGCTATGCTGCAGATATTTCATAACTTCCACAGAACACATTTCTCTTTATGAGAGCTCAGCAATTTGGACACATCAACTGAAAAATCAGCTTTGCTTTTCAAAGGAAGGTGTGACATGCCAAAGGCTTTTAATTCTTCTGGCCCATCTACCCACCCTCCCTTCCCCCCCAGGTAAGATTTCTCGATTGAGTCTTCATTATTCACCAGATCAATGCAAGAAACCACAGTTTTGTTGATACTGCTGTCAGCATGTACTGGACTGTGGGAACAGGAAATTAAAAGTCTTCAGGCAATGGCTTGCAAGAAAGTCACTTCTACATCTATAAACACACAGTTCTCTCTGTCTGTCTGTAATACAGATCAGGCTCCATAATCTTACACCTTCACTCCTGACTACCTCATATGCAGTCTGATTTAAAAAAGCAGAGCATAAGATAGGAATAACACAAAGAATTTTGATCAGAAGTATGTGAAACATATTTACATCAGCTCTGTCTCATGCTAACTGTATTCCTGACATGCTGTTTTCAAAGAATTTCCATCTTAAACATCTTACCTTCAAAAAGTTCCTCTTCCTATTCAGAATGGTGAATGACTTTCTAGATAAGCCCAGAATATTGAGAGCTACACACTACTCCTTGATGAGTCACTGTTTCAGATGACTATAGGAGAATGATCTACGCGAGTTCATCAAGCGTCACGAATATGTAAACATTTAAGTATAACTGAAGGTGTAAGAAGAAATGTAGATGCCTGTCCACATACTGACCCCTCTTCCTGGGGATGTCACACATTAACATCAGGATAAAGGAGAAAAATGCTTTCCACAGATTTCCAGCTCCCATGACCACACAGTAACCTCTCTAAACTAATCCCAGCGTTAACTTCCTGGACCTGCCGGCACAAACCATGACTCATGATGTATCAGCTCCCTTTGTGCCTTATTAGCTTTATCAGTGTCAACCCCTAGCCTATTAATGACACTTGAAGGTCTTCATTAACTATTTCACCACCGATTCCAGCAGATAAAGCAGCTGGGCAAAGCCTATGGGAGCAGTGGCACAGTTCAAATGGCTGGAAAAAGGAAAAAGCAGAAGCAGTAAGAGAATGGAAGACAAGCAGGAGACAGTTTTACAACAAAGCCATCTCACAAAGTAAAGCAAATAAAAACCAAGTGGTAAAAGAGCCTTAACAAGGTGAGAGGTTTTTATTCTCACCTTCCTCTGTCTGTAACCAGTGCAAGTAAGGCTACTGCTCGAGGGGAACAAAGAACAAACCCGGATCTACCACCTCTGCATCTACCTCCTAGGCTCTATGAGGTCTAGGCCTGGTTAAGGTGAGCTTTCATGGCTCACCAGGACCACTACTGCAGGAAGTCACTCCCAGGTGGGAGAGACTCACAACATACGTGCGCTCCTGGTGCCCTGAGCACGCAACAGGGGTTTATCACCCAGCACAGAAGCTGACACACGAGACGTACACACTCGTCACCGATAACCACAACTTGGTTTCTCTACTCAACGCCACGGCATGGCCTGTCAGGAAGAGTGCTCTGCCTTCAGAGCCCATCTCCGGTTCTCACTCGTGCTTCTCAAGGCCAAGTGTCCAAAACGAGCAGCACTTGAAGCACTGCGGCACAGCAGTAAGGTCAAAGACTAAACTTGGAAAATTGCTTTAAAAACCACTGTTCTGGGTAAGAGCATCCAGAACTGCCTCACTGGAGTGCAACACAAAGTTAGCAGCCCACAGGTTTGGAAAAGTAGGACAAGTTTTCCCTTATCGTTACATAAAAGTGATTCACTTGTCACAGATAATCATGTCCATTACTACAATTTATGTTAAGTTTTAGAAGCTATGCAAAACAAATGCAAAATACATTCCTTTCCTTCTGACTCCTTAATCAACAGAGTGATTAAACACAGGCCAAATCATCTTCTGATAATACACTGAGCTATGGGAAGAACCCACCAGCTTGAAATCTAACCTTATTTGCACAAGGCAGTTTGTCAGCCGGGTCAGCAATCCTCTTAAGGTAGGCAAACTGCGAGGAAATGTTAACTGTTTAACTTTGTCAGTCCTTTACTGCTTTAATCAGAACCAGCCCAGCTCTCCAAACCACAGCTTTTGCTTGCATGGTTACTCTCTCAAGCACAGCCAAAGCTCCAGTGAGCACAGGACCTGCATTAACTCTGCAGCCTGAATTCTCCAGACACTCACTCCGAGGTGCCTCTCCACACACTGCACCCCAACACAACACACACAGCTGCTCTGCCAAAGGCTGCTCCAAGCAGCACTGACTGGGCTATCTTAAAGCCTGGTGCTGTCCCAAGGAAAGACTTACAGGGAAATTAAGCACAAGACCTGCTCATAATGGCTTAAGTCCTATCTTAATACAAATAACCCACACATGTTCCCTTCCTCCAAAGTGCAGCAATCCCAACAGTAAACGGGACATTTATGACACTGATTCAGTGTTCAAACACTGCTTTCCCCTCAAAGTCTTCTCTCAAAGTTCTCAATCAAGAACAGTTCTGGCCATGACCCTTCCGAGCAGCCTGACACGTCTGTGGGAGCAGCACCCACATACACTTCCTCTCTCAGGCTCTCTGAGGACTCTGCTCACACCACACACTCTCACAACCCAGAGCTCCAAATTACTTTCCAATACAGAAAACCCGCTGTGAGGTTGCACTTCCCACCCTGTCTACGTCTTCGCCTCAGAGAGTGGTGTCTCAATACAAAGGACCATTCTCTGTAGAGCCTTTCCTGATTCCCTGAGTAAGGATTTACACACAAATCCATACCCAGGTGCAAGTACTTTCCTTACTGATACTACAAAGTGCCAACTCCACAGCAGGGCCTGTGTTAAAAGGCTGAAGTTTTCCAAGATGCTTCACCTGCTGGCCCTGAGATAGCACCACACAGCTTTAACAACACTCAGTACAGTGGTGTTGGTAAAACCTTTGAAACCCAGCTGTCGTTGGAGTGTTTTATGATGCACTTGGAGAGAGAACAGCCCTCCTCACACCCCAAGTCACTGGCTGCAGAGCAACAGCTTCCAGGCTTTCAGTCTTCCGTTCTGAAGAGACATTTGTGCATTAAACAGTTTTCAGGCTACTTTCTGCCCTGCTGCGTGAGAAAAGTAATCGCACTCACAGCCTGACAAGAACTAGTACAGTTCACTACTTGCCTAAACACTTTGCTATGGTTTGAGCTCTTAAAACAAAAATATAGCCCAGGCGAACTTCAGGATCACTCTGAAAATATGACTCTACAAAAAAACCCACTTGACTGTAACTTGAAAGTCGACCTTTTTCCCCCCTAGAACCCCAGAGTATTCTTATGGCATTATAAAATAACTCATACCTGTCTTCATCACCATCAACAGGAATAGATATGCCAAACACAGTGCTGGCAAGACTGTTCATGGGAGTACTTGCAGGTAACTGAAGAGGATTTGCTAGAGTTTCTGGAATGGGAGGCTTCACCAGAGGTTTATTTTCAGCTATAAGAGAAAGTGGTGGCTGAGGTAGGGGTTCCGATTTTCTTCTAGTATCATCGATCTGGCCTGCCAGGGACTGTGCCTCCTGTGTCTGGAACTGTCCGAGGCCAGCCTGGGGCAGGCTGGTGGGTGCACCGGCCATCAGCGAGTGCCCCACGTGCTGGGGCTGCCCCGCACCGCTGCTCCGGCTGCCAGGGGGGGGGCCCCCTTGCGCGGGGCGCACCAACGGCCAGAGGGGTGGCTCGTCAGCTGGGACTGCACCAGCGTAACAGGGACGTTTGGCATAGTAACAGAAGTGGTGGTGGACACACCAGGCACGTTTGT